AAGAAGGAATATATTTCTGTTATATTCAAAACTTCTTATCTACAAGACCAAATGACACTCCTTAAATAGGAGATATTACAAACATCATTTATAACCTATTATATGCCATTACAATTATATATACCATATCTACCACTATCATATTAGTATACAGTTAGCCACTATGGCACCAACACCACTATCATATTCTATAACATGCCACTATCTGCCCACCAAACACCCACTATCATATTATAACATGCCACTATTATTACTATACATTTAAACAAATTCCAGCACTCCCCCTCAAAGCTGGTTGAAGATATCAGTCCATAGCCAGGCTTGCATAAGTCAAGCTTACAAATTGCTTGCTTGTGTAGTCCCTTCGTTAGCACACAGCTAATTGTCACCTGTTGGAAGGTTAGGTCCAGTTATGCCAGCATATTTTCTCCTGATGAAAAATGTTTATCCACCTTCTATATGTTTTGGCCAATCATGTAACTGGATTATGGAGCTATAGATATAGCTGCTTTCGTTGTCACAATAACCTGTCACGTGTCGGCGTGAGAGAACGCTTTAATTCTTAAGAATCTTTAATCCACATTACTTCACGATTCCAGGGGCAACAGCTTCTTGAACTCTGTTCTGCACTTACTTCTAGCTACCACATTCGTTTTTACTCCGCATAACTAGGTTCCCACCTACAAAGAGCATTATCCTGATGTGTCTCCTGTTGTAACACTTCCTCCCTCGTCTGCATCTGTGTATACTTGAACTTGAAATTTTGTTTTTCCCATGTTTCTTGAACAGTAAGCCTCTCCCTGGAGTTCCTTTCAAATATCTTAAGATCTTATAAACGGCGCTCAAGTGCTCTGCCCCCTGGTGAGTGCATGAACTACTTTACCATGCTGACTGCAACAGACCAATATCAGGCCGCGTATGAGACAAAGTAAATCAATCCCTCAAGTCGCTATATGTTCCCTCTCCTTTGACTTCGTCAAGCCTTATAGAGCTCTGTAATTCAAGTTAGGCTCGATCGGAGTCTCACCCATCTTACAACCAACATACCTGTTTCCCTCATATTTTCGGAGTTCTTCTTCCTAATATTTTCTAAGTTGTTACTAAAATTACACTCTATATACTCTATTTTAGTTCTGCTTATCCTAAATCCTTCAGACTCAAGTGTTTTTCTCCAAGTCTTCAACTTGGTGTTAACTCCTTCTCTAGTCTCATCCAATAACACAATATCATCTACAAAAAGCATACATCATTGCACATCATCCTGAATATTTCGCGTCAACTCATTCATAACTAAAGCAAAAAGATAAGGACTTAAGGTTGACCCTTGGTGCAACCCTACAATAATTGAAAATTCACATGTCTCTCCAACAGGCGATTTAATAGTGGTCACTACACCTTCATACATATCCTTAATCACATCAATGTAACCTGTTGTCATCCTTTTCGTCTCTAGCACCCACTAGATTATATCCCGAGACACTCTATAATATGTTTTCTCAAGATCGATAAAAAAAATGCCTCTTTTCTTTTCTCTATACTTTTCTATTACTCTCCTCAAAAGATAGATCGCTTTCATTGTTGACCTACCAGGCATAGACCTAAATTGATTCTCTGATGCCTCTATTATATCTCGCAATCGACGTTCCATCACTCTCTTCCATACTTTCATTGTATGACACAGTAACTTGATTCCTCTATAGTTGTTGCAATTCTAAACATCTCCTTTATTCTTATATATTGGCACTAAAATACTCTTCCTCCACTCCTCTAGCATTTTCCTAGTCAACAAAATCTTTCTAAATAACCTAGTCAACCAAACGGCCCCCTTCTTACCCAAACATTTCCAAGCTTCAATAGGGATATCATCAGGTCCTAAAGCCTTATTCGGCACAGAGGATAGGTACTGTTAGAATTTACCATCACCTACCACCAATTTACCATCACCTACCACCACCTACTCCTCACCTACTCCTCACCTACTACACTCACCCTCTCCTATATAATGAGCCACTCACCATTTGTAACATAACATTATAAATCAATCAATAATACATACAATTTATACTCTCTATATCAATATATTTTAACATGGTATCAGAGCTATAAGATTTAGGCCTATACTCCTTTCTTTCCGGCGGGCAGCCCCACATTTTCTTCTATATATAGATTGTATAGGAATTGTAATTCATCAAGCTTGTAATACATCAATCAATAATATACATCAATTTTTCTTACATGGTATCAGAGCTAGGTTAAGAACTTAGTGATTCCGCTTCATCGGCGGGCGGCAGCCTCACCTTGGCCGTCCGCCGGACAAACCAAAATTTTCTAATTCTCTCTCTCCTTCCTCCATACCCTCACCCACATACCAGTGCACAAAAGCCTCTCTCTCTGTCGGCCCTGCATCGTAATGGAGGCGGCTGTTGTAACTCAAACGAATGTTGGTGCTGCTGCTAATCAGGACAAGGATCAATCTCATTCCGAAGTCAAGCTCTTCACCAGATGGGTCTTTGACACCATTCAGATCAGTGACATGTCTGTAACAGATTACATTGCTGTGAATCCTGTAACGCACGCAACTTATGTGCCTCACACAGCTGGAAGGTACTCAGTCAAGCGGTTTAGGAAAGCCCAGTGCCCAATTGTGGAGAGGCTGACCAACTCTTTGATGATGCATGGGCGACACAATGGTAAGAGGCTTATGGCGGTCCACATTGTTAAGCATGCAATGGAAATTATCCATCTGCTGACTGATCTACATCCCATTCAAATCATTGTTGATGCTGTTATCAACAGTGGACCAAGGGAAGATGCAACCAGAATTGGTTCTCGGTTGGGAGAGAGAAGACACTCAACCACACCACTCTCACAAGAGCATCTCTCTCATCTCCGAACAAGTCTCTCTCATCCTCAAAGAGATCGATTCTTCTCAGAAAAAAAGATCTTTCACGCCCAACATCGCAAACGAGCTCAAACTCTTCCTCACACAACACGAGCTTCCACTTGGCCGAGATTCACGAACTGGGATCACTGAAATGGTGGCCTCTGTGGGTCATTCTTGTGAGACATCTGTGGATTTGCTCTCTTTCTCAACCCATCTCTCTCTTCTCCCCTTTTACATCAACAGCCCCTTCGGCTCTCTCCCTTTACACCCTCTCTTTTCCTTTCTCTTCCTTTCTTTTTCTTTTAATCTTTATCTCCACTACCTTTTGTCTTTATCTCTTTTTCTTATCCTATATTCCCAAACACTCATCACACGCATGCACATGGCAGACACCCCTCAATACACTCCACTTTCCTTCTTTTATTTTATTTGTTTATTAATAAATAAATAAAAAAAAAATAAAAATAAAAAAAATAAAAAAAAAGGGTTTTAACAAACAGTGGGCTCTTAAATGCTTTGCTTCACGAGGCGCACACACATTTCATCATTACATTTCAAACTTTACACACCACCCTTCTCCACTCATGCTGCTTCACGCTACCTCCACTTTACCTTTATTTATTTTATTTTATCTTTTTCTTTTTTACAAAAACATAACAAAAAAAAAAAATAAAAAATAAAAAACTAAAAAATAAAAAACCACATAATTTACAAATTTGCACAACACCCATTTTTATTCATCTCAGGGATCAACACCATTTTCCACAAAAAAAAAAAAAAAAAAAAAAAAAAAAAAAAAAAAAAAAACACAAAAACAACAACAACTTCATCCACAGGCGGAATTTTTTCTCCTCTACTCTACTGCAGGTCTCTTTTTTTTGCCTCCGTCCTGGGCAGCCCTTGCCGGTGTTGTCTCCATATTTCCCACTCCACTGGGCATGATAACTACTCCCTGCTCCTCCACTGCCGCATATGGCGGTCCTCCAAATCGGAACATCACGGTGGCCTTCCGCTTCAGCTCCTTGTTTTCTGTCCTTAGCACGCTTATCTCTGCTCGCGCATCCTTATACATGCGTTGGAGCAGAGCCAGCTGGGAATTTAAATGCTGCACCTCATTTGTCCTACTCTGCAGCCGGTTCGAAAAATTTGTGACCGCCGTCATGCTTTCCACACATGCCTTCAGGCAAGGAGTAGAGCACGGGGGGCATCCTCGTCATAGATCGTTAGAAGGTGGAAACGACCTTGCCAAAGATCCTTGTCATACAAATAAGAAAGAGAATGAGCCTCTAGTCATCGGAAAGTTCAATGGAGCAAAACCAGAGGTGTTTGGTTGAGGTTCACTGGCCACCGCACCAGTTATTTCTCTTGTGGGCTCGTTCAGTTCTGGAAAGAGCGTGAGCAGGTTCTGGGTAGCTGGACGGGAAGAAGAGGCCATGTTTTTGGGTTGCTAAGTGTTTCAGCGAAATAGCAATTTCAGACTGGTAATGTTCGGAAGGGTTGGTGACAGAATGGCAACAAAGTGTTCCACAGTTTCTCTCTCCACAGAGGCAGAGTTTTTTTCAGCGAAGGGTTGGTTTCAGAGGTTTCAGAATGGTATGCCTCAGCCTCAGCCTTCGTCTTGGTTAAATAGCCGAGGCAGCCACGCGTATCGCGCGCCTCTTGCCGCCCGACAAACTGGCACGCCTTTTCATGGCACATCTTTTGACACAGTGGACACGCCTTTTGATGGCACGCCTTTTGATAAATTGGGCACGCCTTTTGATGGCACGCCTTTTGATAAAATTGGGCACACCTTTTGAGGGTGCAACTTTTTCAACGGTCCGACATGACCCTATAAACTGTCCCGACATTCCTACCAGGTATAAACTCAAATTGATTCTCTGACACCTCTGTTATATCTTGCAATCGACGTTCTATCACCCTCTCTCATACTTTCATTATGACACATTAGTTTGATTCATTTATAGTTATTGCAATTCTCGACATCTCCTTTATTCTTATAGATTGACAATAAAATACTCTCCCTCCACTCATTTGGCATGTTACTAGTCAACAACACCTTGCTAAACAACCTAATCAACTACGTAACCCCCTTCTTACTCAAACACTTCCAAGCTTCAATAGAGCTATCATCAGGTCCTAAAGCCCTATCCGATTTCATCTTCTTAAGTGCAATCTCTACTTAAAGTTTCTAATCCTGCGATAGAACCTATAGTCTTGATTTTCTTTATTACTGGCTATTTCCTCCCCTATTAACGTACCTCCATGTTCCTCATTTAACAATTGCTCAAAATAGTTTTTTCACCTCTCTTTAATCTCTTCACCCTTCACAAATACCTTAGAATCCTCACTCTTAATGCACTTAACTTGATTAAAATCTCTTGTTTTCCTCTCCCTTATCTTAGCAAGTTTGTATACCCTATTCTCTTCCTCCTTACTCTCTAGTCTAGTGTATAGGTCATCATAAGCTTTCAACTTAACATCTCTCACTACTTTCTTGACCTCCTTATTAGCTAATCTATAGCTCTTAAGGTTTTTCTCAATTCTATCATTCTGCCACTTTTTAAAGCACTCTTTTTTCACCTTAACTACCGCTTGAACCTCTTCCCTCCACCACCAAGTTTCCCTAGAATTAAGTCCTTTCCTTTTGACTCTCCAAAAACTTCCCTTGAGATTCTCCTCATACAATTGGCCATTGAGTTCCACATAGTGCTAGCATCATCTTCCAAGTCCCAAGTCCCTTCTTTATCCATTATATTCTTAAAATATATATATTTAAAAAAATAAATAAATAAAAACCTTTTACAATTTATTAGCACAATAAACTAAATCAAGCATAAAATGAAACAAAAACTAAAAACTTGCTTAGATTTTCTGAGATGTCCTGGTAACTAATTTGATATTTATTTTAAAATACTGCTCCTGGAGTTTAATCAATTCAAGTGAAAAATTTTACAGCAGGTATTATACACTGCTTCACATTGTGATGAGCTGAAGTGACTCAATGCATGACATGACTTTCAGTAGACATGTCAAAATACAATTGCTCTACATGATTCAGCCAGGTAGAATTGTAATCACTAGATTTAGTACTAAGAACTAGAATAAATACAAAAGGTGCTGGTTAGTTAGGCATAAGAAGTTTCGGTGTAACATAGGGCAAGGCACCATCCATAATTGAAAATAATTGTTCTGAAGCATTTTAACTCCAAACAAGCCATAAACAATAAGTCTGGAAAATCTTTCTGAGAATGGTTCCAACTGACCTGTATGAGGCGTTCCCGTAGGGCAGGGTTAGGGTCTGTCAAAAGCCGCTTTGCCACATATGGATAGGCAACCTAGTAAACTGTCAGTTATTAGTAAACAAACATATAATATAATGACCAGGCATGAATAATAAACAGCATGATGTAAAAGTTTAACAGCAATGCTTTCAAGGTGATGAGAGGGCTATTCCGCTTAATTCATAAAAAGGGTATTTTGCTTAACTCATTAATACAGGAGGTGCTTAATTATGGAAAGCAGTGTATATTTTTCAGGTTAACATCAGACTATGAATGTTTCAGTACAATGATATTATGAACCTGGTATAAGCTGACCTATAACTAATAATTGATGTCATTTGTGTACTCCTGTTTCTATTGCTGTGATACAAATAAATGAGAGCATGAGCATTATTTATAGAGTTCAGTATATTTTAGCTTTCATGCAATGAAATTTGAAAAACGCCAGAAGCCTGTAGTCTCACTGGAGTAAAGCCAAATTTGAGTTAATGAATATCATTTCTGGGAAGCCTATGCACAATGTTATGTTTGAACATAGAGTTTACATCTCCATATTTCTGGACATACTGATCAAAAAAACAATTTCTGGATATATCCAGCAGAATGACGAAATCAACTACTAGTACTTTGGATTATTTTTTCCACTTTGGATATGTTGGTTCAATGGCCTCGGGTTTTATTGTTCTATTATTTTTCCGGCAGAAGGTTTTGGGTGTACTCTTTTTAGGGTGTGGTGTTGTGTCTAGTCTAGCTTCTGTATAGCGATCTCAGTTTTCCCTTCATTGTTTAATGGTATTTTAGACTCGGTTCCGTGGATGTGTTGTTGTCTTTTTCTAGTTTCCATCCTTTACTCTTTGTATATGAGTCTTGGGTCGTGTTGGGTAGGTTTAAAACACGTTGGTTGTGTTTGGAAACCAAGGGTTAGTGTCCATTAAATTTTCATAATGGTTCATTTAATATCCTTATTAGTGGTTACAAACTTGTTCATTTAATATCCTTATTAGTGGTTCATTTAATATCCTTATTAGTGGTTACAAACTTGTTCATTTAATATACTTATTAGTAGTTCAGTTACTACCCTTATTAGTGGTCCATTCATATTCAAACTTGTCCATTCATATTTGTAACTTGTGTTCATTTAATTCTAGTTAGTGTTCATTTAATGCTAGTTAGTGTTCATTTAATCCTAACTTGTCCTTTCATTTTCCAATTAATGGGCCTTTAATAACAACCTTTCAATATCACTTGTTCATCTCCTTTTGATTTCCAAACCCTAGAACCATTCTTCTCCTCTACACACCTTCTCTCTAGGTTTTCAATCTCCCTCTAGTGTAAATCTAGACTAAGTCCTTTGTAAGAGGGTAAGTGGGTGAGAGCTTCATTTTAATCTGAAAGTTGGCGATTTGGAGCACTTTGGTTTTTGGCCATCATCTTCTTCCATTTGAGGTAGGGATTTCTTTGTTCTTTTTCAATACTCCATCTCTATAGGATAGACATGTGGTAATTTGCATATTGTACTGGAAAATCATATCGTTTGCGACCTTTGTTTGCGAAAATTCATGAGTGGGCAACCTAGGGTTGGTTGTTTCGAGAGATGGCTCTTGTTATCACTGGACTGTGGTTTGGACTAATTAGAAGAGTTATCAAAATTAGGCATGTTATTGTTGAAAGAAGAGCAAAAGCACTAAGATTATATTTTGATTTGGTAAATAAAAAGGATTTACGGTGAACATGTTCGGCAAATTTCTATTGTTAATATGAGTTGTGTAGAAGGTGTTAACAGTAACGGATAATTATGGTATGTGGAGTTATTTTGAAATGAACGTATTGAATCAAGTTGGTTATGGCTTATTATCCATGGAATTG